CAGATACAAGTCTTTTGTCAGATAAGTGATATGCAAATATTTCCTTTCAATTCGTGGCTTGTCTTTTTAAATTCTCTTAACAGTGTCTTCCTATGAGCTCCAAATTGAACTTTAATATAACAAAATCTTAGATTTAGAGGAGACCTGATGTTTTGTTATTATTGTGTATTTTAAAGAAATTTTAAACAGAATTTTTATTCTTTGCAATATGAACCTTCACTGTTTTGGCCATTCTGTGTTTTGAACTGCATATAGAATCCCTTCTGACTTTACTGTCTTTTGTCTTCCCTTGTTCTGCATCTTAGACGAGGAGTTGTTTTTGGTCTCTGGAGCGCCTGTGCTTCAGTGGGCAATATTTTGGGAGCATGCCTAGCTTCTTCTGTCCTGCAATATGGTTATGAGGTAGGTACTTTTTGTGGCTTTTTATTGTGTGTGTGTATGTGTATTGCTTTTTATAGATTGTGGCCATTTAAAACTACCTAAAGCTGTGTCTGGGTACGCAAGGCTTGTATTCAAGGAGGACAAACTTCTGATACATTCAAATACATAAAAAAATTATTTATGGCAAAAACACCATAAAAGAGTCTAAAGACATACAACCAATTGAAAAGAAGAATTTGCAACTCGTGTTACAGATAAAGGGCTAAAATCCCTAATATATGAAGAGCACCCACAAATTAGATAAGAAAAAGTCCAACAATAGAAACAAGGGTAAAAAATTTGAATGTGTAATTCACGGAAAAGAAATAGAAATGGCTCGTAAACATATGAAAAGATATTCAACTCACTCATAGCTTTTTCATTCATCCAATAAATATTTTAAGTCCCTCTGTGTGCCCCCAGGCACTTGAGAATATAGAACTGGCCAAAAGAGACAAAAATCTCTTCCTTATGGAGTTGGAGGAGAAATGCAAATTAAAGCTACACTATTAAGAAAAAAGTAAAACTATACCATGACTACACTGTGTACTTACTAGATTGGTCAAAGTCTCAAAGTGTGATAACGTGTTGTGTTTACGAGGACTTGAAGAAACTGGCAGTGCAATTGGGAGAGTAAATGACCCCTTGAGGAGTTCAATATGTCTATGTCTGTCAAAATTACAGCTGAGCAGTTCCCCCTCCAGGAATTAATCACATAGGTGAATAGACCGAAAATGGACAAATGATGTGTCTGTTGTGCAAGGTGCTTTATTTTAGCATTGTTTGTAATAGCCAAAGATTGAAAATAAATGTCAACCAACAGGGAAATAAACTGTGATACACCTGTTCAAAGGAGTGCTGTGCAGCTGTAAAGTAGAATCAGGAAGCTCTCTATGCCCTACTGATAGAGATCGGTGCACTGGAATGGTCTCAAAGGCATGTTAAGTGAAGAAAGCAGGGGTGCAAAACTGAGGATTGAATGATGCCATTTGTTTAGAAAGGAAGAATGAAAGCATATGCATTTGTATTAGCTTGTATGTTCCCAAAACAATCTCTGGACAGTCAAAATTAAATAACAACGCTGGTTATATGTTGGGAAAATTGGGACAATTGAGTGGTTGGGGAAGGGGTTGGAGGGCAAGTTTTCACTGTATACATCCTTATACTTTGTTGCTCGAATCATGTGAATATATTGCCTAGTCGAAAACCTAAATAATTAAAAGTAAGTTGCTCTTTTTAAAAGTAGATACATTTTTAAACAGCTCATCTAGAATTTTGGTGACTTCTTACTGACTTTAAGAGATAAGAAGTCTTTATTCATGGTCACTTTTATTCTAGGCTTCTTAGCCTCACACCTGGATTGTACTAATTACTTCAGTTGAGAATTTCATTTTACCCTCTGTGCTGATCCCAGATTTGACTTCTGAAAACATTGCTTTAATTTGTCACTCGTTTAAAAATTCAGACTACCGTCCACGTCAGGCTCCATTCTCTTAAATAAAATACAGCTGTACAGCCTGGCAGTTGAGCATCTGTAATCTTGCTATCACCTTTGAAAATCAGTTTTATTCCCTAGCAGAAGCCCTCTGCCTCCGTCATGCAGCAAGCTTTCTGTCTCCTTCCTACCCCGTGCCTTTTGCTTACGCTGTGCCTGGAAAGATGGACCGTTGCTTTTTCAGTTCTTCCCTAAAACACCATCTAGTTGCTTCAGCCTCTTTAGCTGTTTCCTCCTCATGAATTCCTATATATTTCTTCCTAGGACTGGGCCTTCCCATTTATTCAGCTTCATGCTGCTTTATAATACTGTTTTGTGTATTGTTTGTTTGTTCATTTATTTATTCATTTTTGAGACAGTCTCATTCTGTTACCCAGGCTAGAGTGCCGCGGCATCAGCCTAGCTCACCGCAACCTCAAACTCCTGGGCTCAAGTGATCCTCCTGCCTCAGCCTCTTGAGTAGCTGGGACTACAGGCGCTCGCCACCACACCCGGCTAATATTTTCTATTTTTAGTGGAGATGGGGTCTCGCTCTTGCTCAGGCTGGTCTCCAACTGCTGAGCTCAAGCAATCCTCCCTCCTCGGCCTCCCAGAGTGCTAGGATTGCAGGCGGAGCCACCGCACCCAGCCTGTTTTGTGTGTTGTTTAATCTCCTCGAACACATTAGTTATAATATCTTTGAGGGCAGATGCTGTGTCTTTTGTGGGAGGCTATGTGATGCAAAGAACTAGAGTTTCAGAGATAGTCTTGGTTTCACAGTTGTAATAGTGCCACTTAGAATCCAGGGGACCTTAATTATCTTCTCTAAGCCTCATAGAGTCACTGGGAAAAATTAAATGAGAAAACACGAGTGGAACACTTTGCATAGTGCCCTCTCAGTGTAAGCACTCAGTGCTCATTTCCTTCTCACTCTGTCCTTCCAGCCCCACCCACCACCTCCCACACGTGCACCTTCAATGACTGTGCTAATGATGACTATCCCGATGTGTAAGAACCGCCTTTCCTCCCTCTCTTCCAGTATGCCTTTCTGGTGACAGCGTCTGTGCAATTTGCTGGTGGGGTCATTATCTTCTTTGGACTCCTGGTGTCACCAGAAGAAATTGGTGAGGAGAAGCTGTCTTTTCTATTCACAATGTCTTACTGTCATGGCCAAAGGGAAATCTGAGGCCGGGAAATTAAATCTCTTTTTTACTGGGAAAACTGTGTGCTCCTTTTAGTGAATTAAAGGAAAATGGTATTGCTGTTTGCATCCCGTCTACATTGTAGCCAACTCCTGACACAGCTGCACATGTTTGAGGAAGTGGTGCCCTCCTTTTATAGGTAACAGGAAAAACTTAGCATTTGTAAATTTTTGTAATTGTCACTCTGGCTAGGAGTTAGCATGGATGTATTTCTAGTTTCACTTCTTGAGACAGATTTTTTTCATTCATAAAAATGATTCAGTTTGATACTTACCTATGGTTAAATACAGAATATGTACAAGCAAAACCACAGAAGCAAAAAGATGTACAATTCTTATGTCTTTTGAGTATTTTTAAGCAGGCTATGTGAACTTAATTGACTTTAGTTGACCTTGGTCTCTGAACCTTCGTTGCTTCTTTTGTAAAATGGAAATAAAAAAAATAATATCGACCCCGTAAGTAGTGATAGATGCAAAGCCCTTAGCACAGTGCCAGGCACATAGGCACTCTATAAAAGGTGGCTGTCATTGTTGTTTTAGGTCTCTCAGGTATTGAGGCAGAGGAAAATTTTGAAGAAGACTCACATAGGCCATTAATTAATGGTACTGAAAATGAAGATGACTATGAGCCTAATTATTCAATCCAAGAAGACAGTACTATTACCCAAGTCAAGGCTATAAGCTTTTATCAGGCTTGTTGCCTTCCTGGAGTCATACCGGTAAGGACTATTCAAATCTCCTTAACACAGCCAGTGAGATACTATAGCCCTTGATATTTACTTTGCCTGGGATAAAGCTTCTTTAAGTAGTTAGCTTCTCTTTGATACTCTATTTTAGGAATATATGTTCAGAGGAATATTGTGTAGTGCCCCCCAGCTTATCTGAGATCTCAGGGGTCAGCATACCTTGTCCATGAAAAGCCAGAGTAAATTAATTTTTAGCTTTGGGGGAACTGTACAATCTCTCCCACAACTACTCAGCTCTGTAGAGCAAGTGAAGCCATAAGACAATATGGGACAGACGGTTGCGGCCAAATTTGGCCCCTGAGCCCCGGTTTGATGACCCTGATCTAGCATGTGACTACAAAGGCAAAATTGATATTCTTAAATACATATTTTGAGGCCTGTTAAAGTATTATAGAATTACATATGGACCAAGAAGTCTTTTGAATGGTCATTGAGTTTGCATTATTTGCCTATATTCTAATCATTCCAGGGGAAAAAAAATTGCCCTTTTTTTAAAAGGTCTAGAACAGAGCACTCCACAGTGTTTCTTGGTAATGCATTCCAGTGTTTCCACAACCTTTGCAGTCAGGAAAACTTTCTCATGTCTAAACTGAATCCCTTCTGCTGCAGTTTTTCTGTCTTGATGTTTCGGGCGCTCTAGCACTGGAGTGGAAGCTAAGAGGCCTAGGTTATGTTTCCAGCTTACCCACTAACTTTCTGTGAGACCTGGGGTAAGTCACTCAACCCATCCTTGTGTCTCAGTTTCCCTTCCTGTGGAATAGAAATTATGCCTGTTGTCCCTGGGGTCTATAATGTTGGGTTACTGTGAACAAGCACCTGCTTTTGTTATTTTGCTTTTTAATGGTGCTTTATGAATGTAATCCCTCAGGTAGGTTCAAAGTCTACAGGCCATCTTATTTCATACTTACCAATTCCCATCTGCCTGCGCCTCCAGGCTAAGAACTAACATTTCAAATAGATAAGTATGAGTTTAAGTATGAGTTAAAATTTTCCACAATTCTTTAACTCAAAGATGATATATAATATAAGGGAAATGCAGGTTCCTTTAGGCCTGTTCTTATGCTCATGATCATTTTTTAACTAGTTATTAAAATATTCTCCTGGCAATAGTTTAATTTTTGAGACAGAACTTAAAATTGTTGCAACTAAATATGGAAATCTTGTGCTGTTCCTTTGTTCTTCACAAGCTGTTGTTCTCCAACAAGGACAGGGATGTAAAGGAAATCTAGTTAACTTAATTCTTTTGTCTTTGTAGTAGGCTGTCTGGACAAAATGCACTCCTGATTGGGATTCGGCTCTCTAGGGGGCGGCTGTTGCCTGCCAGGGAAGCTGTTTTAAAGCAAGTGATACGTAGGGAATAACTGGCAGCTCCAGGGAAAAGAATATACTAGCCAGACACCCTTTGAAGTCAGCTCCTCTGTTCCTCCCCCTTTTGCCTTTGATGCTAAATGTCAGGATTTCCTGGTAATAACCTGTTGAATACAGGAGTCTCAGCCCTACCACCATCTTAAGGCAGCTGCAACTTTTTCCTCAAAGGAGAGCCACAAGGATGGTGACGACCGTGCTCTGTCATTTTTGACTCACCAAAGATACTGTCTTCTTTTCCACTGCATGGGGCACTATAGGGCTTTTGGAAACTCTGATGTGAAAGTAGTTTTAATGTTGATGCCTTTCTTAGACCTTGAAACTCTACTGTAGTCACCTTGCTTGCCATTGTTCACATTATTAACGTTGCAGGAAGTAGAATAACCAACCAAACAAGTTTGGCTGCTTGCAGTAAAAAGGCCAGTGATGTTTCCTGGACTTATTTGTCTATGGTTAATGCTGATTGGTGGCATGAATACCAATTATCTTTGTATGAATAAAGAAATGTGGATATGTGCCCTGCCTTCTAGGTTCAAAACACTGGTTTGCTTCTACCAAAGAACTGATAGGAGAATAAAGTGGGGACAATTAAGAAATAGCCATCTGTGCTTTTTATCTCAAAGGCCTGCTATCCATGCCTATCTAGAAGCTAACAGGGATGAGGAGAAGGGGAGACTAAGCAAAGTCAGGCACGTGGGAATTTGTAGAGATGATTAATTGTAAAATCAGGTACCATTCATCTCAAGCTCCTTCATTTTGTTTTGCTTTTTAATGACATTAAAAATTGTGGTCATTCTGTGTTACTTGTCTCTTATTGATAGTTGACTGTTTCTCTTGTAGTATTCACTGGCCTACGCCTGCTTGAAGTTAGTCAATTACTCCTTCTTCTTCTGGTTGCCCTTTTATCTGAGTAACAACTTTAGATGGAAGGAGGCTGAAGCTGACAAGCTGTCCATTTGGTACGATGTTGGGGGAATCATAGGTATGCCAGTGATGAATCTTTTTCCGTAAGAAAGACTCACTAGTCATCTTTTATTGGGTTATAAAATCTGGCTTCGTTTAAAGTTTTATTACTTATTTCACAGCCATTTTTCCTAAACTGTCCTACTAGTGCACAGCCAAACTCTTAAAAAAAAAAAAAAAAAATAGAAGTCCATAGAAAGGAAGACTCAACCCCAAGGCAGGGCTGTGATTTATATAGCTCTTTTTTCTCAGTCCTTTGTTGATGGATCACTTCTTTTCTCTTGGAAAGCACACAGAAATTCTTTAAATGCAACCCTTTCATCCCCTTTCACTGATATCCTAGCTCTAAATCTTCTAACAAAGATCCAATTTAGAATGTGACTATGTTCATTTTATCCACCTCCTACCTTCCCCACCACCCCCAGCCAAAGACGGGAAAAAATACAGTAGTTTTTTTTTTTTGAGACAGAGTCTCACTGTGTTGCCGGGGCTAGTGTGCCATGGCGTCACAGCAACCTCAAACTCCTGGGCTCAAGCGATCCTCCTGCCTCAGCCTCCCAAGTAGCTGGGACTACAGGCATGCGCCACCATGCCCGGCTAATTTTTTCTATATATTTTTAGTTGTCCGATTAATTTCTTTCTATTTTTAGTAGAGACGGGATCTCACTCTTGCTCGGGCTGGTCTCGAACTCCTGAGCTCAAACAATCCGCCCGCCTCGGCCTCCCAGAAAGCTAGGATTACAGGCGTGAGCCACCGCGCCCAGCCAAAATACAGTAGTTTTGCTACTCATATCCATCATTTTGCTTTCCAAAGTTTCATTACTTGCGGTCCAGTACAGTAAGATTTTGAGAGAGAGAGAGAAACGATTCACATCACTTTTATTGCAGTATATTGTTATAATTTTTGATTTTGTTATTGTTAATCTCTTACTATGCTTAATTTGTCAGTTAAACTATATCGTGTGTGTATGTATAGGAAAAAACATATATAGGGTGTTTAGTATTATCGATGGTTTCAGACATCCACTGGAGGTCTTAGATCATATCCCCCATGGATAAGGGGGAGTCTACTGTCATACCTTAGTGTATAGATTGTCAGATCATAGAGATAGGAATGCCAGTAGAGATTAATTTTTTTGAGTGTTTTCCAATTGCTTCATTGTAAACAACAGATTTTAGGAGTGACTTTTTGCTGTAGCCAGAAATATGAACAAGGAAGTAAGAAACTTAAAGAAGACAAACAATACATTTTAGTGGATATTACTCATGTGTCTGTGGTAAAACCTTAGTATCCTTTCTATAGTGTTTACATTTAGAACTATGGTGTAACTCAACTGCTCTGAGCACATGAAAGCATGCAGTATATCCTTAGGTGATATACCATTGTTGTATTTCAGTTTGGCTGTCCTAAAATGAGGTTGCCATTTTAGACCTGCCCATACTTCTGTGTCCTCTGAAGTTAAAATTGCCTAGGTGCCGCTGCCTGATGCGGATGTACCAGATGTCCCATAGCCCTAGAACTCACAATGGTACTTATCTAAATGTGACAGTGTGGCTTGAAGGATTCATATCGCCTCTTTTTAAGCATCCTGACATATTAGTTATTACCAAACCATAATTGCTGCATTTAATTTTAGTGAATTTTAGTGACTGCTATTAATAGTCTGTGAAGCATGGTTCTTAATCATCTTTTAAATTAAAAAGTGGAAAAGTCAGGAATAGCATTCACGGCTTGTTTTCATTAGGGACAGTGGATAGTTTTGATGATTTTTCCTATTTGTGCCCATTGGCCATCATGGCGATATAATAGTTCATCTTCCTGAAAGGAAATTATGGAGGAAACTTTTTGGAGAGTCAGCCATCTTTTTGGATAGACCAGTGTTATGATCCTGCTAGTGAGACTAAAGGGTACACGGGGAGCGTGCCTTGGGTCACTGAGCTGAATTAGAAATGATTTTGATTATGACATGCTCTTTGTGCTTGAAGGTGGAACTTTGCAAGGCTTCATTTCTGACATACTGCAGAAGAGAGCTCCCGTTTTAGCTTTAAGTCTGCTTCTGGCGATTGGGTCCCTCATCGGGTATAGTCGTGAGTATTCTATGTAATTACATTTTTCCCCTGATCTCTTAGGAATAGGCATTTGCCTGGAGTCAGCGATCAGCCCTGGGGAGAGCCTTGAGACCAGCTACAAGGCATGATGTGCTCCCTTTGTATTGTCCTGCGAATGCCTGGGAAAACTGTCATCACATCGTTTTATTTGTGTCGGGAGGAAACTGGCATTTCTGCTGCTTTGTTGATTTGTTTAAAAGCTTGCTTGGGAGTGTATATGCATTGTTTGAGGGGAGGCTCCAGAGGGACAGCATTATAGCCAATAAAACAATAAAAGGGGGACAAGTTTCAAAAGCGGAAAGATGGTAATTAGTAGGTTTGGTATACATCCCTTAAGATGCTGCTGTGACGGGAGTAGAGTTTTTCTTTAGCTTTTAAAAGTCTCATTAGCTTGAGCACCAGCAAGAAACAGACATTACAAATAAAAGTTGGAAGAGGCAGTGAAAGCGTCGTGTCTCTTTGTTGTCTCTGAGAGTGATTTGTGAGGCCACAGAGATTCAGATCTTTCTGTACTGTTCAGTGGAGGCACATGTGATCCGCTTTTCAAGTCACCGTGCACGTCTGTGTCTTCTTCGACAGGTTCTCCAGACGATAAGTCCATCAATGCACTGCTGATGACTGTTACAGGTACGACATATGGCTCTGCTGCGCTGTGCTATTCCTATAAATTCAGAGGAAAAAGGGAAGCTGTTTTCCCCCTCAGTTTGAGTAATATTAAAACCTTAATTACAGAGAACTCAAATGGTTAAAGGAAAGACAGCTCTTTTTCCAGATTTTTTTCTCTGCTGTTTTGTGACCTCCTTAGTTCTGTTGTGACAGAAGCAGTCCCTGTTGATAGAGGTTTTCTAAAAATTTTTATTGCTCCCCCAGCTTCTGATAATACTTCTGGAAGTGACTTAGAAAAATGCCATGTTGGAAACCAATTCACCAGCTTTCAAAACAGTATAGCTGATTTTTCCTCCTGTGTTGGAATTGGTCAGTATTTTGTTGCTTGAGCACTAGATGAAATAGTTGAGTGCAATTAGGGATGTGTTGTAGAAAAATTACTTACTTTTTACACTGTAGATCATACTTGGGAGAGCTACGTGAGGCACATGGAAGTAGCTCCAGCCATGGCCCAGGATCACAGGGGCCAGCCCGTGCTCAATTCTGGGGCAGCCTCACTGAGCACAGCGGCAGATAGAATCACCCGCACCATTTCAATAGTTTTTTCCTTTTCTCTCTTTTTTTCACTATTTGGTTAAGTTGGATAGTCAAATGCTCATATGATGCAACTCTACCATAATAGAATTTGTTTGACAAGTTAGTGCAGTCAGTTATTAATGAATGCAAACTTCACAGGATTAGAAAGGCTGGTGTTTCACTATAGTTTTTATATCTTTGGGTTCTGTAAAATATACTGAAGTGTCACATAATTCAAGAAGGGATTTCAGAAAAGTGAATGCTAATTACTTTGAAGATGATACTATCTGGGAGAGTTCTCCTCCCCTTTTTTTATTTCTCTCCAACATATTAAGTAAAATATTGGGATAATATTTTGCCTTATCGAGTAGATTCCTGGTGGCATTATGAACCATGTTTTAATAAGAACCTGTTCTGTTTATGATTTCAGGATTTTTTATTGGCGGACCTTCCAATATGATTAGCTCTGCTATTTCTGCGGACCTGGGTCGCCAAGAGCTGATCCAAGGGAGCAGTGAGGCTTTGGCGACCGTCACAGGAATCGTTGATGGGACTGGGAGTGTTGGAGCTGCTGTGGGCCAGGTGAGAGAACAGGAGTGGGGCAGGGGTTTGAATGTTGTCTGCCTACAAAGGTGAAGAATTTACACCTGCTTGCTGGCCCTCAGTAGGTGGCACTCTTGTGCTATAGAATTCTGTACTGAAAGCCTGAGGGTTTTAGTCTCTTCTGAGGTCCAGCTGATGTGCCCTAATATGGAAGGGCCCTCTACCTTTTTTAGTTTTCTTCTTTCCATTCTTTCTTCCAGATTCTTCTTGTCTGAAAATAAACTAAAACCTTGTAAGAGAGATAGACCCTTCTGCACCAGCCCACCAGCCCCCTTTTCCAGTCTGAACTTGGCATTCCGCAGGGCAGGGGGTGAGACACATGCTTGTCATCATCCCCACCTGGCATTCGAACCCCACCTTTTCGCCTCTCTCCTGCCTCGCTCTACCAAGCACTCATGTGTATACATGTTCGTTACATGGATCCCCACCAGACATGGCCATGGACTCTGCAACTGCCTGAGTCACTTTCTTTGGTTCCTCCATGTCCAGAAATCTGTGATTGTATTTCAAAGGGTGGTTCATAAATGCCTTGCATCAGAATCAGCTGGGATACTCGTTAAAGTACAGAACACTGAGCTTACTACGGACTTGCTGAGTTAGAGCCTAGGGATCTGTATTTTCAACAAGCCGTCTTGGTGATTTTTACACACTCTGACGTTTGAGATCTTCTGAGCTAAGATTGGCCTGCGCTATCCCTAGTCAGAAATATTCAAATTGACCTTCTTTGCATAATTTCAGGCCTTCTCTCAGAAAGGTATCTCTTGTCTGGGGACAGTCATGAGTCATACCTTTTCTAGAGTATACCACCACCCCAGATCATGGAGTGATGATTTTGCAAAAATATGGATTTCGGAATCATCTGCATGGATAAAACATGAAGTGGATGAGTTATTTAACGGGGAAAAAGAATGGAGCAAAACTTCAGGGAATGCCCATTGGTCAAAGAAACAGGAAGCCAGCAAAGTAACATGTAGACAAGGGAATAGCATTTGAGAAGGTGTTAGTAAGGTGACAGATGTAGAGGTCAGGAGAAGGAGAACTGAAGGACAAAGGGCTCTTAGTTTTGACATTGAGAAGATCAGCAGTGGCCTTGAAGATTGCTGTTTTGCTTGCTTAGTGGGGGCGGATCGCTGATGTCTGATTGCCAGAGGCTAATGAGAGAGCAAGTACTGAGGTAAAGTAAACCATCCTAATACTTATTGCTGCGTGGCCATGTAGCATATATTCATTTGTTAATGTCTGTCTCTCACACTGTAACGTAAGCTTCATGAGGGCAGCATTTCCTTGTGTGTGCTGCTGTGGCCCTGGTACCCAGAATAGTGCCTGGCACACAGTAGACATTCAAATGTTTGTAGAATGAATGACTGATGCGCTTAGCATATTTGTTTATAAGATTAAAGGACAAAAATTAAAAAAAAAAAATACTTAGCAGAGGTAGGTGAAGTTTGCTAGCCTGATCATGCTCTTGACTAGGAATCAAAAAATGCTCCTGGCCACCAGTTCAGACATCTTCATATCTGGTGTACTGTAGAGGGTGACTGTATTGGGCATCCTTTTCTGACATTGTGGGATTTTAAGTTATCCTTCCTCATGAACGTTTTCTTCGTTAACTAAATGGGTGGATTATAATGAGCATTTCAGGGAGTTTACTTTTATTTAGAATGCTTCCCTGCCAGTGTCCAGACCCCTACCTGTGAACTTGGGTCAACAGTAGACTGACCTTCACGGTTGGGGAAGCATATCCACAGTAAATCATTGTTAGCCTTACTCATTCTGCTTCCATGTTGATTTCTAAATGATTTCTTATTGCCGAAGGGGTGAAATCTCAAACTCTGCGACTTAATATTAAAACTCTATCAGCTTTGTCCTCAGCCACTTGCCTTACTCACCCTGAATAACTTTGTTGCCCCCACCTTGCCCTGACTTCCCAAGAAAAGAATTGTTTTTCCTCCTGGTTGCCGTTGCCATGCACACCTCTAGCAAAACACTTATCCTGGTCTATCACCTTTATGTGTTTATCTCTCTGTCCTCTGGACTCTGTATTCCTTAGAACACTATTTCCTTCATCTTTGTGTTCCCAGTGCTTAGTGCATTTTTGACACACACTAGGGGCTCTGTAAGATTAAATTGCAGTATCTACCCAAGAGAAATAAGAACAAATGTCCGTGTTAAAACTTGTGTGTGGCTGGATGCAGTGGCTCATGCCTGTAATCCCAGCAAGTTGAGAGGCCAAGGTGGGAGGATTGCTTGAGGCCAAGAGTTCGAGACCAGCCTGGGCAATATAGTGAGACCCTGTCTCTACAAAAAATAGAAAAATTAGTTGAGCATAATGGCATGTGCCTGTAATCCCAGCTACTCAGGAAGGGGAGGCAGGAGGATCACTTGAACCCAGGAATTCAAGGCTGCAGTGAGTTATGATCATACCACTGTACTCCAACCTGGGTGATAGAGCAAAACCCTGTCTCAAAAAAACAAACAAACAAAAAAAACAAACTTGTATGTGAAAGTTCACAGCAGCGTCATGCACAATAGCTGTAAAAGGAGAAACAAACCCAAATGCCCAACTGATAAATGGATAAACAAAATGTGGTATAGCCATGCAATGGAATATTATTCAGAAATTAAAAAAGAATGAAGGATTGATATTTTAATTTTAATTTTAATGTAGAATTACCATATGACCCAGCAATTCCACTCCTAGGTGTATTCTCAAAAGATTGAAAACAAGGACTCAGATATTTGTATGCCAATGTTTATTGTAGCATTAGTCATAGTGGCCAAAAGGTGGAAACAACTCGAGTGTCCATCAACAGATGAATGGATAAACAAAGTGTGATATATCCACACAATGTAAGACTGTTCAACATAAAAAGGAGTGAAGTTCCAGTGCATTCTACAACATGGATGAACCTTAAAAATATTATGCTAGCGAAACGAGCCGGACACACAAGGACAACTGTTGTGATTTTATTTACATGAAATATCTAGAATGGGCAAATTCATAGAGGTAGAAAGCAGGTGAGAGATCACCAGGGCTTGGAGAGAAGGAGTGATGGGGAGTTAATTGCTTAATAGGTACAGAGTTTTTATTTGGGTGATGAAAAATTTGGAGACAGTGGCGATGGTTGTACAACATTGTGAATGTAACTGATGCCACTGGATTGTACACTTAAAAATGGTTAAAATGACAATTTTTTTTTTTTTTTGAGATAGAGTCTTGCTCTCTTGCCTGGGTTGTAGAGTGCCGTGGCGTCAGCTTAGCTCACAGCAGCCTCAAACTCCTGGGCTCAAGCAATCCTCCTGTCTCAGCCTCCCGAGTAGCTGGGACTACAGGTGCATGCCACCATGCCCATCTAATTTTTTCTATTTTTTTCAGTAGAGATGGGGTCTCACTGTTGCTCAGGCTGGTAAAATGGCAAATTTTATGTCACATATATTGTACCATAATAGAAAAAAGGAAAATGGGTTATACGCTTTTAGATCCATTTCAATAATTGAAAGAAAGTAAAAAAAATTTGCTGTAGAATGCTAAGGTAGTACAGCAATTCTGCGAGCACGTAGCATAATTGAAAAAATGAGCGGCATGCTTAAAAGACAAATTTTCGAAGCATCAATTATAGTACCTTTCATTGGAAGAATGATTAAACATGAGAGGCCTGCGGATGTTAATTTTCCTCTCTAAATAGCAAAGTGAATAGAAACAAACCTTCTGAGCAGGACGGTGGCCATGGAAGTCGGAATCCGCTAAGGAGTGTGTAACAACTCACCTGCCCAAGAAAAAAAGGAAAAAAAAAACCCTTCCAAATGTACAGCTTCTAGTATAGAATTTTTTGTATTTGGATTCTGAAAACTTACAAAATGAGGCCATTAATAAAGCTGAAATGGGAACATGTATGTGGAAGAGCTTTGTAATCTGCGAAACATGATCTAAACCCTAACTCCCTTCTTATTCTCTAAAACAGCCATGTTTAATCTACTTTTTGGCTGCTTTATTTTATTAACTTATAAAGAATTATAATATTGTAATTTCTTTTTGTCTCTTTTAGTATTTAGTGTCTTTGATCCAGGACAAGCTAGGATGGATGTGGGTTTTCTACTTTTTTATTCTCATGGTAAGTGTGTGTGTGTATTTTTTTTAACTAGTCATTTTTTCTATTAATTTAGTTCAAAGCATTTACTTAAGTCACTTCTTGAAACCAGCAGAATTGCTGATTGCTTTTAAAGACCCTTTCGTGAAAAGTAACATTTTATTAGTCTAAAAGACACATTCTTTTTTCAAGGAGGAAAAGGGCCCTCAGTTTGCCCTTGGCCTGAGTTTAATGAGTAATTGCCATTTATAATTCCAGAAGAACAACAAGAGACTTATTTAAAGCATTGCCAACCATTAATCAGTATATTCTTCCAGGCTCTCTATCTGTTAAATATAGTTGGAGAATTCTGAAGGAAATTACGATGTACGCCAAGCACCACAGGGTTAAAAGAGAAGCATTGTAGAGTTAAGAAAGAAGGATTGCTGTAATTAACACTGTCATGTGTGCAGATTCTAAAATGGTGATAGCTTCTTGAGGAAATATTTATGATGTCTTAGACATTGGCTGGGATTCTGTATTTTCTGGGAAATGGCCAGTACAGAAGGCGGCCTTGTGCTTTTCAAATGCTGCTGTCTGTTAAATAATCATATTATTGATGGGACAGTGCTCAAGACGTGTTGAGACTCTCTACTTGAAAGAGTCTGGTGATGGCCTTGTCCGCCAGGAATGTGTTCAGTAGCCTGTTCTGAAATCCAGGCCATCCTAACTGGAGGCAGCCTCAGTTATCCTGAGTCCAGGCAGCTGTCCTCTTACTTTGTCCAAGGAACCCTGGGATGGTCCAAATCCAGGAATTCCCTGGAGCTTTCTTCTAATTGCCATCTAGCTTCCAAAGACTGGGCCATGGAACTCTTACTTTCCATTTCTGACATCCATGCTAAGTAGAGGGAAATATCTTCTGATGAACCTGCTGGTGTGACCACACTAGGATTTGTAGTAGAAAGACAACTGGATCGATTATAATAAACACTGTTTTTAATCTGAGCTCCAGTATCAATTTTTTGCCATGTACTTTTTTCTTTTTTTGACAATTGTAATGTGATGACAATAAGTATTTTATAATATTAACTGTAATTTTCAAAATCATTTTCTAATTCATTGAAGATTAAGAGTTATCTTTGTATGAAGTCAAGATGAATGTAATTGTCCAAATCCATTATTATGTTCAAAACGTGATGCTCTAAAGAAAGTAATTAAATTGTCATTGTGTATTTAATACTTTTTCTCTTCACAGACAAGTTGTACAATTCTATTTATCTCACCATTAATAGTGAGGGAAGTACTCTATCTTGTACGAAGGAGACAAGCTCACATATTGAGTGAGTGACTGGTTGGTGCCCACAAGACAAAAAGAACAATGGGAGACACATCAGGACTATTAGGGCTTTTAATTCACTCTATTTTGGGGCTGAGAGCTCAACATAACCTCAGGTTGTCAGGCCTCTTTCAACACTGCCAGCCACCCAAGATGCTGACCAGTACTGAAGGCTGGGCTATTTTTCTACACTACAGGAATTATTGTTGATGATTTTTATTATTTCATGAATGTACTGAATGATCTTTGTTTGGACTATTGAGGTTTATCCCTTTAACCTTAAATGTCGTATTGGACTTGGACCCTTGTTCTCCAGCCTCGAAAGCTGAGTAAACAGAAGGCAGAGCCATGCATGGTTTGTACTGACAATGTGTTCCACGAATAGAAAGGATCGCTGGATTTTGCTTTGGTAATGTGTTTGCAGAGAGTGGCTCATCTTTGAAGCATCAAACCCTGATAAACTGCTCAAGCTGGATCAAGCTGTAAGCCTGCCTTGGACAAAGAATCCCTCTGTTAACTCTGGTGGGAAAGATCACATGACATGCCTGCTGGCTCAGTCACTCTGTCTGATCTAAAAGTCATTCAGCTCGAGAAACAAAAATATCTTCAAATTATTGGCAACTTGTTTTCCTCCGTCTTCCTTCAAGATTAACTTTGATTCCTGGAAGTGTTTAGTCTTCCATTCAAGGACCATAAGGTACATCAGTTATCTGGAACATTCCACTGTGTAACTCACAACTGAAGTACTCAACCCCAGATTTGTTGTCTAGGAACTTTAGAATCCTCTAGGAAGCTAATCTGCTTAGTCATGTTTTTAGAGGATTGATCTGTTACAACCGGGTTCCTGGAGTTAGCAGGAGACTAGAATTAGAGAAAAGGGAAAGACCTTTTGTCCTAGTGTTAAGTGTAAATGATCCTTGAATTATGATGGAGTTATATCCTGATAAACCCATCATAAGGTGAAAATATCCCAAGTCAAAAATGCATATAATACACCTGACCTACCGAACATCGCAGCTTTGCCTGGCCTACCTTAAATGTGCTCACAACACTTACATTAGCCTATAGTTGGGCAAAATTATGTAACACAAGCCCTATATTATAGTAAACTGTTGAATATGTCATGTAATTTATTGAATACTGTATATTATGTCAAAATTGCAACAGTTCTACACCATTTAAAGTCAAACAGTTGGAAGTCAGGGACCATATGCACATGACATTGAATCAGTGGACTACTAGGGCCTGAGGGGTGTCTGTTTTTTAGAAGATTGTAGAGTATATGTCTTCAAGGCTGTGAATTCTATACCAATTATCCATATTTTAAGATCATTATATATATTTTAAATTAAGTGAACCTGGAGGAAAGTGTGCAATTTTGAGGGATACCTAATTTGCATTGGATTAGGGAATATTTTTCAACCTCTTGCTTTATACTCTGAAATGCGGCGTGTTTATGAACTTGTTAATGTTATTTAATCATGCAGATTTCCAATCAGTGTATTGCTCATTTACTGACAAAAAGGGAAAATATGAAACACAGGAAGGGAAAATAAACTGACTTTTATAATAAATCTCTGTCCACTTGGTTGTTTAAATCTATACTGTGAGTTTTGAGATTGAGGATGTGATCAGCGCCTTTAGGTTTCGTGATGCTGAGTGATGCTGACTGCTCCCGGGTGAGCTGGCACTGACCCCGCAAGTACTTCCGGGTCACACAGCTTCTCCACCTGAGGTGCTGGGATGGCTCCATTTCTGTTCTGTGAAAACTAGCCCTTTTTCTTTGTGGAAGATGGTGCTCAGTTTGGGTGAATTGCTTAGTTGTAATTTAAGAACTATCTGTGGATGAACCCCATTTCATTATTGAACTTTGTGCTGACATCTGGTTGAGAGAGTTTCCTGATTCTCACACCGTCAGTATGGTTGCATGTTTGTATCCTGACACCAACCAGTGTTTTACACCCAGTTTAACCTTAGGTGGGTGAGTATTCCCCTGACCTCTCTATGGCCCTCAAGCTATACCCGAAATGAAATTATTGCTATAAATAAGTACTTAGCACTGGACAAGATGATATATTGCCCTATGGATAAATTTCCTTATTGTTCTAGTTCTGTCAATCTATGTAGGAGTTAACTTTAACAAACATCTAAGAGTTCACTTTCTTATTAATTTTTTTCCCTTGAAGAAAAGGTCCTAACGAAAGCTAATTTGAAAATGCGTCCTCCCCTGACAGCTAGATCGCTGATGCTCCATAGGTTGAAATAAAATGCTGTGGCCTGTCTTTTCTTTTTAGAAGGTGTTTTCTTCTCACCTTCCTTATAGTTTCAAAGGAGGAAATGTCTCTTCCTCCTCCGGGGTATTCTGGCCTTTCCTGCTTCCTGAGGGAGCAGAGGGCCCTCGAGCCTCCCGCTGTGCACAGAGATGGAGAGAACTCGCTGCTCTCAGCCTTTGCTCCTTCCCTTCTCCTTAAAACTTCAGAAGCCCTCCTGCCTCCCAGAGCGGTAACTATTGAAGCCTTTCTTATCCCTGCTAGTTCTTCTGACTAATGTTCTATTTTTCTTTTCACAGTCAAACCCTTTGAGTTAATGGACGGTATCTGCTGCCTTCCTGCCTGCACTACTATGTTAACTTCTTTCTCATCTAGGTAACTAATTATCTGTTTGCCCAGGACAGTCCTGATTTGTGTCTGTCATTGTGCCTTAGTTATCAATGGCACCTCCTTCCACTCTGCAAGTGCCCTGGTTTGGGCACCTTAACCTCTGAAGTTTTATCACCCTGCAGAAACCAAGCATCTGAATGTCATTGAATTTGGAGATTTTTTTCTTCCCTCATTCCTTATCTTTCTTAATCTTTCTCTTGTACTTGATACTGGTAACCACTTCTTTCCCGGGATTTTTTTTCCCCTTTGGCTTCTGTGGCATTTGAATTTATCCCACCTCCTGTCCCTTTTTCTGGATTGTCTTCTCTGCCCACCCTCTGCTGGTTTCCTTTCTACTTTCCCTGATGAACTGTTTTTGTAACCTACCAATAGCTCTACTAAATACTTTGTGAATAGGAAACCACTTAACAGAGGAGTGGCATCAGTTCAACTACTGTCTGGTGTACGGTTAAGAGCAGGTCTCCAGGGAGAGAAACAGGCTCAATTTGTATAACCTCAGCCCCCTCTCCCAGTCCCACACAGACGGCTCTGCCAATTGCTGCCTTCATAGTTTTCAAGCTTTCTAGGGAATCTTCTGAGAATCTGAAAGCCACTTATCCTCTCCCCGGATCAAAATGCACATATGAAAAAACATTCAGAATTTTCATACTGCATCTTCATGGGCCAAACCTTGAAGCCCACTGTTGGACCACAAAGTTAGAAGCCTTGGTCAAGAGCGTCGAGTGCCTGGCACTGAGGTTCTCCACGGTCCAGCGTCGGTTGATTTCTTTACTGACGCTCCCATTTCCTTCCTACATGAAACTTCTGCAGACTCAGACGGGTCACTTGCTACTCGCTACAAATGGCAATGCATATTCTTACCTTCGCGTCTTCATGTCTCTTCATAATACCCTTTTGATACTCTCAGCTTTCTGAATGTTAAGTTTTCCTTCAAGGCTTGGCCAAGCACCGTCTCGATTGAGAAACCTTTCCCAGCCAGCCTTACTAGCTCTCTGCCTTCTCCCTCTCCTTGTTAGTAAGGTTTTACTTATTTGTTGCTTTGCTGTTGCTGCCTTACCTATTTTTATATCTAATTCCCCAAAGAAATTGTTGCTCTTTTTCTTCAGCGCCTGGGTCCTTGCATGGTTGGTGCTGAATAAGTGTGGATCACGTCGAAAAGGTGGAAGGAAGGTGAGAGAGTGGGGTGTGGGCAAAGCAGGCTGTGGCTTCCTGTGCCTGCAAATTGCCCTTCCACGTGCTGTACACATGACACGGTCCTCCTGCGGTCAGCGGCCACAGACTGTCAGGGCCGCGCAGGTTCTCAGACTGTGTGGCTCCAGAGTTCAGTGCGTTCTCTCCTCTGGCTCCGCAGCAGCCCTGTCAGCCCTCCCAGAGAGCGCAGCAACCGCGAACGGTGAGCTTCTTCACCCGTACGATTTCCATGGCATTCAAGCTGCTGTCCCCATTCCTGCTGCGTGCTTTCGTCTGGACTGCCTTCTTTCCGCAGCCACTCAGATTCTCTTCATTCGTTTCAGTCCCCCTTGGTGCCCCACCTCCATGAAGCTTTTCTCCATTACCCTGTTGGTATAATGCTCTTTTCCTTCTGGAAACTTCTGGAGCCCTTATCCTTATACCACACAGTCTGCCCCAGGCACACTGGTTTTACATCCTTATTTTATTCTCTGGTTGTTTCTGGTTAAGTTGTCATTTCCTCAATTAAATTGTGAGAGTCACAAGAGTCAGAACCGTGTCCAAGGACACAGCAGCCATTTAATCAAGACAGGCTTGCCACATTGGCTATTTTGTGCTCATAGAGTCAACGTCATCCTCCTTTTGCTTTTCCTCGTTGCCCTAATCATTTCCAGTGACACAAAGTTTGTTCAGCATGTATCTAGAATAAATTAGATTAAATATAAAATATATGGGTGTGACCATATATAATGCAAATCACTTAAAGGGTTTTATATATGTGTATATTAAATGTAACATAATTATTTGTTACTATATGGCATTTTAGAAGCAAGAACATGCATGGTTACATGTATATGTAACAACATATAGTTACATATAACATAGTTACATATATTTTTATGTATATACTTAAAACAAGTCTCATACTTGAAAAGTGTGTACCTGGATGCCCAGTGGTGTGGCTTTCAATCACTAGTAAAATAGTTCTTCATATGTGTGTAAATCTTTCAAAACTCATTCAAAACTGTCTCATTATTGCCCACTCTTATTCCTTCCAGATTCTGTGAGGGCAGCACGTGGTTCTGTAGTTTCCACGTGAGAATTGAGATTCAGAGGAGTTAAGTGGTTTACCCCAGGATCACGTCATCTGAATGACAGAACTAGGTCTAAATTAAAACCCAGTTCTTTTGACTTAACTCCAGTGTTTTTTTCCCGTTCTGCCACGTGGCCTCCCTTTTAACTGACTCTTACCCTAGGCTTGCTTCCAAGAAATAAATCGTGCAGCCACTCTCATCTTTCTCAAGGGCCGAGGTCTCAGAACTGTCAGACGCTGGGAGGCTTTGTGTGGAAACGACCTGCAGCCCGGTCCTGCTGCAGGCTCAGCCCTACGGAGACCTGGGTCACCCCAGCTAGCTGGCCTTGTCCCGGGGTCTTAGCCTCTATCTAAGTGGCCTTCTGCACTAGGTTTGCCTTTTAAAAAAGGCACCTCTTCGCTCTTTTTCCCGATCCTTCTGCATGAGTCTGAGGAGAATTCCACCCCCTAATAGACTCTTGTGTTGTAATCTCTCCCTTCATTCCGTGTCCCTGGACAGTCAGGGCACGTGTAGTCATTTCATGTGCCCAGCTGACCCAGGTGTGACCCACTGCTTCTGCCAGGGTCCCTGCTCAGGTACCCTGTTCCTAATGAATGTTTGACTAACTTTGAGTGAGGTTCTTGCTTCTAAAATGCCGTTAGCATTTTACTGCTTGCTCTTGCCCTCTGATAAAGGAAATAATTATTTTTTCTGTCCTTTCAGAAATTAGATAAAAAGTAGCAAAAACATTTGAAACTTTTCAGCCTCTTTTATCACTGTGGCTCAAGGAAGTTGTCATCTCAGGACTTCATCATCAGAGAAATGCAGATAAAAGAGGCCACCCTGTTTGATAGGAATGTTGATACGGATTTAATGGGATAATTGTTTTTAGGTAGAATCTTTCATCTGAAGACTTCAAAGACCTTTACTTTGCTTAATAGTTATTATCACGCCCTAGAGAGGGACATCAGGATACCATAGTCCCAGGTTTTTGTGTGTGTGCACATTTGTTTGTTTTCCTAGACTCATGATAGAAAGTTTCAGGAACCTAACAGCATTGTAGCTGATTTCCATTAAAAAATAGTACCTAGCAAATAGCATACTTAACTTGCCTCTGTTTTGCGGAAGATGTTAATGGAGTTGTAAACTAGAGAAAGAGCAACCACTCTGGAGCCAGGAGGGCAGGGCTGGGAGGGCAGGGCAGTGAGGAAAGGGCGGGCCGCAGAGGGACCTGGAGTGTGAGCGAGGTTCCATGGCTGTACAAGCTCCTGGCGAGCATATCAGTGGTGCATAATCCTCAGATTTGTCATTTAACAGGTCTTTTCAGAAACAAGCCTGGGTCGTGCCTGAAGGAAAGATCCCTAATTA